GGTTATTTTTAAATAAAAATACTAAAAAATATATAATGACAGTGGCAAGTTCAAAGTGTCACATTTACTTTGTACACACTGTGCGGCAAAGTCCGTGCGTAAAAGTAAAACAAATGAACGCTAAAGWAAATTGCTTCTTTTTGATCATCGCTTCTGTTCGCAAAATGGCACTTTTTGATTCATTCGAATAAAAAAGCTTATTTCACATAAACATTGTACATTAAAACGAATTTGTCCACTGAAGACGTGGTAGTTCTTTTTGGATTAATAATTTTGGTTTCTAACTTCACAACAAAATATAAATACGATGTTTGGCGGTGACGAGAGATAATGGAATATCATTTATCTTACAAATTGCGCATGCTTCATTAGAATAACGTCTAACGCACAAGGTAAAAAGTTAAAGTTGGCAAGTTTCTTAAGCCTTATTCCTTAAGCGTTACGCACCATACGGTTTATCAACACCTCTATGGGCTGATGCGCAACAAACATTTAAGATATGCCTTAATCGTTAAGCGTTATTCCTTATAATGGGTCTGGGAAAATGTTATTAGTATTTAATTATATAATGCAGTGATAGTTAGCAAGATGTCCCCTTAAAAATCAAATATATGGCAGTTTTWAACTCATTTAAACAAACTACTGGCAAAATCGTAATCTGCTAGGGGCGTCCCCTTCACTTCTTGTTCTCTAGGGCTTACATTTTGACTTTTTAATAATCTTAAACTGTACGTTTTTGAAACACGTGTTATTTTTGGAATTCTTCGAGATTATTTAGCTTCCGAATTTCACTGCCTTGACTCAGATTGTAATATTTTGCTCTTGGCTTTTTAAAGCTTCCATAACTTATACCATCTAATATCACATCCGTTTCATCCATTTTGCACATTGGGGAATATTTAATAGCGTACTAAACAGAATGTAATATTGAAACAATAGTACCGAATCGAAAGATCCGATTTAAATCAAACCCTTATTTTAAACATTTGCACATACGAAAAGACAATAATAAACATACTTGGAGAAACAGCGGCCTCAATGGGGTCCGGAGTCCATGTTTCCCAATCATCATCCCCATCCTCAACATTTATATTTTCATCAACAGCTCCTCTTTTATGTAATTCCTCAGCCAAATCATTAGGCCCTTCTTCGGTTAAGCTGCTCATTACACATCTATTTGAAAAACAAAATTAAATGTTAATTACTGATTATATGTTACTACTTTCAAAAACAGGCGTGTGTAACACGCCACAAAACTTTGGAGTCGCTGAAACGTTCGCTGCGTCGGGATTGGAACCGATTGGTGCTCATGTACTAAATGCCTGTTCGAGTTTCGCCTTCTTTTAAATTTCCATATAAAGTACACACACAATTATACACACTAAAGCAGTTTAAGTGCCAAAAAATGCGGATCGTCCATCAATTTGCAGAAAAATGTATTACAAACTTTTGAAAATCATCTTCAAACGGCCGCGTATTTATCATTGCAAATAAAATTGCACATTGCCGTGTACTGTTAAATATTGTTTTAAGAACTAACAATCGATGTTGTGCAACAAAATTGTGCCTAAGATCCACTACAATAACGTTTTTGAAAAACTGTTGGACCTATTTTAAATCGCCTGATTGATTGTGACGCAAATTCGCATCAAGAAAAGATTAAATTAAATTAAATCGTATCGATAGAATCCCGGTGAGAAGAATGTTAAATGTTGCAAATAAAAAAGACATTTTACATTCAAAAGGAAATTAAATGAAATTTTACCTATTCCTGATCCATTTATAAATTATTAGACTAACAAGAATATTAAAATTATTATTGCCATCATGCGTTAAACAAGTTCAATATTTTATGGTTTCTCCATTTTGTTTATTTAAAATTAAACATTTTATGAATTTTTTGCTACAGGTCATTTTTTTAGTGTCACCCATGGTTAACAACATTTTTTAATCAGAATTACTTTTAATTCTATAAGACTGTTACTCAAAACCGCCCGCGCCTAAAAAGGGTAAACGGCAAACATTGGTCCATAGGAAAAAATATTTATATGAAGCAAAACTATAATTTAATAATAAACTTAAATCACTCTTACCTAACTGTGTCTTCTCTCTCTCTTAAATATTGATGTATAGGATCTGTGACTGATTCCAAAAGAACACCAGTGGGATCCAAAACTTTCAGGGATTTAATCGTAGCAACATAAGCCGTAAGAATATCTGCCGTGCTAACGCCGTGATGTAATAATCTAGTTTCCATGGCTCTTTGCAATTTTTTCATTAGCAAAGGCTTCAAATCTGTTCTCGGTAAACATAAACGGATGTCCTCCAAAGCGGGTAGCGATTCGGGATATTCTGAAATAGTAGAATTGTATTATACTAAAATTCAGATTAAAATTTTAATGAATGGATGCAATTTTAATACTCGCCTATAACAATATTAAAAAGTTGATTGATCCTGATTTTCGTATAACTATTATACAAGTAATTAACTAGTTTCGTTTGAAACGTATCCATGGCTTCATTTAAGCAAATAGATGTGTCAAAACTATACATTTTTCGCAACCAAACAATTACTACTGTATGTAACCACTAAAACAAAAAGATTAAGGTAGATTTTATTTTATATACGGGTAGGCCTGGGTAACTCAGTGAATTTTTAGGAGCCAGCGCAGTGCTGCGCAAGTGAATTGGGCGCCAACTCAACGCGCCGGCGCATTAACTCAATTCCGTTGCTAGCAAAACGCTAATTAAATTATGAGTTAAAAAAT